TCAATTTAAGAATACAAGTAAATGTAATTGATAACACACTGTGGCTGCAACATTCAAAGATTCCTAAAAAAAAAAGCAATTTATTTATTGTAAGATATCAGATCTCCCATACTAATTATCACAGTTTAAATATTTGGTTTTCTCTATGTAAGAAGGTATAATGTTAATCAAAATCTTCTAACTTTATCACAATCATGCTATCATATTTTTGGCATATTTCTGTCAAGAATATTTATAATTTATTCCTCAATTCAGTTTGTACAATAAGCATCAATACTGCTATTAAAACATTTGAGCCGCGTCATGACAAAACCAACATAATGCATTTGCGACCAGCATGGATCCAGACCAGTCTGCGCATCCACACAGTCTGATCAGGATCCATGCTGTTCGCTTACAAACCCTATTACAAATAGAGAAACTGATAGCAAACAGCATAGATCCTGGTCTGGATCCATGCTGGTCATTACGTTGGTTTTGTCATGGCGCGGCTCATTAAGCCTTTCTGACAATTTTAAAGAGAGTAGATAAAAGAACTTTGCTTAAAAGATTTACAGAGGGTAGAAAAAAAAGAAAATAACATTACATGTATTACATGAATGTACATATACATATTAACAGTCTTTATTACATGCTTTTCGGTGGTTTATAGAAATATATCAGTGATATAAAACTGGTAATTTCACTGTTTGAAACAGTGAAATTACCACTTTGATAATTTCACTGTTTAGAATTTAAGCCCCTTGCGTTGTTTCAGTGAAATACCAGCGTGCACAGAACTGGGTACCAACTTAATGACGTGACGTCGTAAATGACGTCACGTTGTATTATTATTTGGCGCGCTTTTCATTCAGTATTAGGTTAAATGTCTTTTTAAAACGTTTCTTTGCATATAATAAAAAGAAAATTTGTTTAGTTTAGTGTAAGATCGAAATATATTTCACCTTGTGAACACCAAAAGTTCATATTTCACTCGTGGCTGCACCACTCGTGAAATATACCTTTTGGTGCTCACTCGGTGAAACATATTCCGATCTTACACTGAACTAAACAAATATCCTCTATTTATTAAAGTAGAAAAATGAAAATAAACATGCCAGTTTTAAAGAAGGTAGAAAAAAATAGTTATCTTCAATGCTTTACAGCAAGATGAAAGTGATATACAGATGATAGAAAAATAAAATTATATTATCAATTTTACAAAGAGTAGATAAATTACCTACATTGAAATATAAAATGCATACAGTTAATCTTTTATGTACAAATCATCATGATATTTGAAGATATATATTGAACTGTCTTAAAGCAAAATAAGATGGCAATTGTAGAATCTTTAGGGGTTTTTTTTGGTCTAAAGATCAAGCACATAAAAATATAAAATAAAATAGTTATAAAGAGTATATAGAAATTGTTGAGACCAATCTTGAAATTTCAGTGTAGATCCCGACTGCTATCACAGAAATTATCATTAAATTTTTTTTAGACAATTCTACAAAAATACATGACATTGATTGTATTATTTACAAAGCAGATGACAGAACTTCATCTTAATATGAAAATATCATGTCCTCTTTTCTTCCTTTAAATTACATGACAAAAATTCAATGTTTTAAAAATAACAACCATCTGAAATACAAAATCTAAACATCACAATATTTTTTATATCAAAATTAATGAGCTATAATACTGTATAATACTATTACTTTATTTTCATATCTACTTTATACAATTCTTCCAATAACATGTTATTTTATAAGTACACAATTAAATTCAATTTCTAAAACTTATCTTATGAGAGGGACTCAAAATCCTACTTCAGCCATAAGTCATTCAGACTTGAATTTCATCTCAAGGAATTTAATGTGAATACAATAAAATACTTCCATTGACAATCATTTCAACCATTTTATCATTTTTTTAAATATGCTTGGTACAAAAAAGTGATGATCAATTTAAATTCAGTACAAAAACTAGAAATGTGTCCATAGGACACCCCCCCCCCCCCCCCACAGCGCCACTGTTCTGTCAATCTTATGACTCTAGGTCAAATATTTTTGAAAACTAAAAATCTTTTACTAAGTAAAGGGCAAGAACTTTACAAATACTGAATAAATCCACAAGCAAACCACAAGGTGCATAAGTACACATGCTGACCAACATTCTTGTAAACTTTCAGGCCTACAAGTGAAATACTTTTTGAGCTATGCATGAACAAGTTGAAAATTGCAAATTTATACTACTGTAAGTCAAGGGCAATAACTCTAACAAAACTGAAAAAAATCCACATGTAAAGTCCCAGGTGCATAGCTTCACAGTGTATTCCTGTAATTTAGTGATGTTGATCATTATTCCCGTAAAGTTGGTTGATTCTAACTCAAGCACTCAAGGAACAACATAATGAAACAGTTTTTACTAAGTCAAGGGAAATAACTCTACAAATACTGGATAAATCCACAAGCAAAACCCCAGGTGCAAAACTAAATATGCTGAGCAACCTTCCCGTAAGGTTTAAATACTCTATGTCAAATCCTTTTTGAGTTACATGCCACACAAGTTGAAAATTGCAAAAAATTTCTAAGTCAAGGGCAATAACTCTAAAAATACTAAATGAATCCACTCGAAAATACCCAGGTGCACAACTACATATGCTGATCAACATTCCTGTAAAGTTTCATGACTCTAGGTCAAATACTTTTTGAGTTACATGCGACAAAAGTTGAAAATTGCAAAATTTTACTAAATCAAGGGCAATAACTCTAAAAATACTAATAATATCCAGACAAAAATACCCAGGTGCACAACCACACATGCTGATCAACATTCCTGTAAAGTTTCATGACTCTAGGTCAAATACTTTTTGAGTTACATGCGACACAAGTTGAAAATTGCAAAAATTTTACTAAGTCAAGGGCAATAACTCTAAAAATACTAAAAATATCCAGACAAAAATACCCAGGTGCACAACCACACATGCTGATCAACATTCCTGTAAAGTTTCATGACTCTAGGTCAAATAGTTTTTGAGTTACATGTGACACAAGTTGAAAATTGCAAAATTTTACTAAGTCAAGGGCAATAACTCTAAAAATACTAAATATATTCAGACGAAAATACCCAGGTGCACAATTACACATGCTGATCAACATTCCTGTAAAGTTTCATGACTCTAGGTCAAATAGTTTTTGAGTTACGTGCGCCACAAAAGAGAACAGACGGACGGATGGACGGACAAGAGTAAATCTAAATGCCCGCCACTAAAGTGGGGGCACAATTATGGTTTCTATGATATAACTAGACAAGATAATAAACCAACATAGTGCGTTTGCGACCAACATGATCCAGACGCAGTCTGATCAGGATCCATGCTGTTAGCTTACAAGTAGAGAAACTGATAGCGAACAGCATGGATGCACAGGCTGGTCTGGATCCATGCTGGTCGCAAATGCACTATGTTGGTTTTGTCATAGCGTGGCTCATATATCGCTATATAGCCTGGATACTCTATGAACCTGCCTGGTTTATCGATGTATAAAAGGCTGTAACAGTAAGTGTAAAAATCTATTTTTTAGCACCAGTGACCTTGACCATTGTGAACCCTCATTACATTAACAGTTAAGAGAAAAATATGCCAAATACCCAATATGACAAGAAATCAGTCAATAAATGAAAGTTGTTTGAGAAAAAGTGTAAAAGTCTTGGTAACAATAGTCTTACAATTTTGTATTAATTTATCAAAATGTTTTGTAATTTGGTCACAAATAAAATGGGTACATTTTCTTTAAAGTGGTTGCAATGTTCCATAAATTGGTTACAATTTCTATTAAATGTTCACGATTTTTGATAAAATGATTACAATTTTAATGAATTAGTCTATGTCTATGAAAATGGTAAAAAAATTCTATAAAATGGCCACAATTTTAAGAATTTAAGAATTTTAAGTTAGGAATTTAAGAATCAGTTAAGAATTTTGCTCAGTTACAAACTTCTATGAATTGGTTACAATTTTCTATAAATTGGTCACACTATTCTTAGTTATGAATTGGTTACAATTTTCTATGAATTGACCACAATTTTCAATAAATTGGTCACAATTTTCTATCATCCTTAAAATACTATTAAAAAGAGAAACAATGTTAGTTTATGGCAATGTGGTATTGAAATACATATGGCAATATGGAAGCATGTGCTATAAATACAGTTTAAAATTGTGCATTTAGATTAGTGACTAGATCAAATAATTTGCATTATTAACTGAACCCAAACTTTGCATTGATCACTCTATCCAACTGAATTAAAACCTTATAATATATTTAAGTTAAGTAAAGTTTGTGTTTTTTTATCAGTGATATTTTCAATTACTGAGGTGTGATTATATCTATACTAATGTGTGTATTCACATTTGTTATCAATTAAAAGTATCCTATGTTACATTTATTATTAATTAAGTATATCCACAGTTGTTATCAATTAAGTGTATCTTATGTTACATTTATTATCAATTAAGTATATCCACATTTGTTATCAATTAAGTGTATCCTATGTTACATTTATTATCAATTAAAAGTATCCTATGTTACATTTATAATCAATTAAGTATATCCACATTTGTTATCAATTAAGTGTATCCTATGTTACATTTATTATCAATTAAGTATATCTACAATTGTTATCAATTAAGTGTATCTTATGTTACATTTATTATCAATTAAGTATATCCACATTTGTTATCAATTAAGAGTATCCTATGTTACATTTATACTAGTAATCAATTAAGTATATCCATATTTCTTATCAATGAAGTGTATCCTATGTTACATTTATAATCAATTAAGTATATCTACAACTGTTATCAATTAAGTGTATTTTATGTTACATTTATTATCAATTAAGTATATCCACATTTGTTATCAATTAAGAGTATCCTATGTTACATTTATAATCAATTAAGTATATCCACATTTGTTATCAATTAAGTGTATCCTATGTTACATTTATTATCAATTAATTAAGTGTATCCTATGTTACATTTATAATCAATTAAGTATATCCACATTTGTTATCAATTAAGTGTATCCTATGTTACATTTATAATCAATTAAGTATATCCACATTTGTTATCAATTAAGTGTATCCTATGTTACATTTATAATCAATTAAGTATATCCACATTTGTTATCAATTAAGTGTATCTTATGTTACATTAATTATCAATAAGTATATCCACATTTGTTATCAATAAAGTGTGTCCTATATTACATTTATAATCAATTAAGTATATCCACATTTATTACCAAGTAAGTGTACTCACATCTGTTATCAATTAAGTGAATCCTATATTACATTTATCATCAATTAAGTGTATTCTATGTTAAATTTATTATCAATTAAGGGTATATCTATGCTAGATTTATTATGAATTGAATATATCTACATTTATTATCCATTAAGTGTCTATAAATTTGTAATCAATCAAGTCTATTCATATTTGTTATCAATTAAGGTTATGTTATATTATTACCATTACAGTGTATGTGTGTTATTTATCATAACTGGTGTATTGGTGTGTCTTATTGTGCGTGCTCTTTATATATAATCAATATTATTGTCATGTACATGTATTATATGTTAAATCTGTAATAATGTGTGTGTATAGAATGTCTACATTTATTATCAATGATGTAAACTTTGCATTTATTACTATTGATGTGAACTTATCATATATTTGTGTGTTTTCTTTGTATACATTTATTATCACTGGTTTGTTATAACTAAGTGAATTACTATTTACTTTAAAAACATATAAACTTATAAAAACATATTATGTAGATCATTATTAAAAGTACATACATATCAAAATAGCAATATTACATTATCTAAATTCTAGATGATTCTACAGAAAGGCTGATGTAACATCATAGAAGTTCAATAGAGACATATATTAGAAAAACAATGATTTGATGGTTAATATAGTTTAACTTAACATAGAAATAAAAAATTATATATAATTATAAAACAAAAGAGAGCAAGTAAGTTTTACTTTCCAAAAACATGAAGCTTACAAAAAATGTTTCTGCATATCAGATTCTGGTTAACGAGAATCTCAAGTCCAAATTGGCACTCAAATATATCAATCATATAGACAGCAAAAAAAATTCATTCAGAACAGGTCATTATATATCACCTAAAATGACAATTTCTCTTCTTTTTTAATGATTTTTTTCCTCAAAATAAACTATGTTTAATGTCATAGATTTTTTGGGGGGTTTAAACTAGCATGTAAATATAATTATGCATTATAAATTTCCAAATGAAAACATTGAGGAGTAAGTAGTATACACTGGATTTCTATCAACACTTTAAAAAAAGCACTGCTGTAACTTGTAAGTTTTATGGGAAAAAAAAGTTCTCTGATTCTATAAAAGAAAATTAGGACTTTATAATGTTAAAACACAATCAGCAGAAATGTGGAGATCTTGAATGTATTATGGCATGTTATATATATCATCAATCTGGATTTGGTTTAAACAGGTCAGAAATGTGGAGATCTTGACTGTATTATGGCATATTTACATATAACATCAATCTGACTTTGGCTCAAACAGGTCACGATTTAGGATACAAAGCTGTCGAACAAATCCGTCGTTAGGATGAACTTTTCTCCGAGCTCGTACCAGTTTGGCACCTTCAAGTAGGTTCACGTTACATTTAATCATGAGGTAGGCTAAAAATATAGTGGCCGAGCGGCTTACACCTTTATAACAGTGGATAAACACCTTTCCTGAAAATAGGAACATAAATGAATATCATTATGTTAGATAAACTATTCCTGTTATATACATATATCATACTTATATCATCAAAGTGGCAAACATTCTCATCTAGAATGGTCTTTAGATTTACAGACAGTGTTGTTGACTAGCAGACTTGTGTTAGGTGTGGTCTTTATGATTAGGTGGTCTCTTAAAGCAGGTAGATGTGCATGTTTATGTTTTTGAAACAATGACAGTGTGTAAGTATGTAAGTTTTTTTACTGAAACTATAAAAGGTAATATACAGCACAAAGAATTCATTTAAAACAAGTTACTTTTTAATTTTAGCTGATATACAATGACTGATACAGACAAATACATGTACATGTATGATCTATCTATATATCAGCCGCGCCATCGCAAAACCAACATAGTGCATTTGCGACCAGCATGGATCCAGACCAGCCTGCGCATCCGCACAGTCTGATCAGGATCCATGCTGTTCGCTTACCAACCCTACTACAAGTAAAGAAACTAATAGCGAACAGCATGCCCATCCTGATCAGACTGCGCATATGCGCAGACTGGTCTGGATCCATGCTGGTCGCAAATGCACTATGTTGGTTTTGTCATGACGTGGCTCATATGTATGTTTTCTATCAGATTTGGAGAGACATTTCATACCATCAAAAAATCAAACATTCTAAATGATTGGATTGTTCAATTTTAAATTATTCTAACTAAAGAATTCAACTGTAATTTGTAAACATAAACTTCAATCGTTATATAAGAACATTGACTTTCAAGACTTTAACATATCTCCAAACCCCAAGAGAGTGTTTCTCATAACAACCATTCTTTACTAGTATAATGACATAAAACCTAATACTATTCTACTTGATATCCAGTCAATAAATATTTAATTTTACAAGACTAAAGCAATGCTTTTAACAAAACATTATTTCATATCCTGTATTGACGGTTTTCATTGACATTCAATATATACAGCCAATGCATTACTTTATTTTAGTGAAAAGCTTTATTCAAGGAAGTTATCATGAAAAATCTATACATTCTATAAAAGCTCCTGCTGCTTAAGTATTGTATAAACATGAAAACAGGACAGGTAGAGAGATTGGCCTGCTATCAGAACCAATTTAGTGCATTGAGATAATCAATATCTAATCAATAAGATAATAACATGAAACATTTACCTCCTCCTTTCAAAGCCTTGTAAATAAATTCAGCTGCTGGCAGGAAAAATGGCATCATGTTAAATGTGGTAGTGTCTAATGCCTTGATACCATGAAACTTAATACCTGCATCTCGATAAAACCTGCAATGATTTAACCTAACATTGCAAAACTTGAACATTATAATTGTGAGAATCTTTATGTTTTATTTTCTTTTAATTCACATATTATATAATGATATTATGCAAGTCATATACTACTTTCTTGTTTTCTCCTTCTTTTTTTCATTGAACAAATTTCTTAGACTAGTTTGATAAATTTCTTATCAGATGTAATCTCTATTATTTGATGTAATCTTATTATTTGATTAAACTTGTAACCAGATTGCATTTGTGAAGATGAAATCATATTATCAGCATTCATATAATTTACTAAAGTTTTCAGGCCAAAGGGCAGGAACTTGTATACCAGAGGTCCATAGAATATAGAATATTCTAAACTGAGCTAATCAGACTGGTCTGTCACAATAAAATACAGCTGAATAGACAGATGAGATTTCAATAATATAAATTATTGGGTTACTTACCCTGAATCTGTATTTGTCTCCCTTGGTGTTTTTCCCTGAGAGCAGTTGACAATATGTGTGATCCCTAACTTCTTTAGATGTTCCTTGTCCCTCACACATTTCCTGTAGTAAAATAAAAATTTTATACTTTTCATGGGAAAAGAAGTTTTAAATAATTATTTTGTTTTTGTTGTACCTTATACTATTTTTCTTTTTTCTTATCTTTTTGATTGAAAAAAACCTAATTTTAAAAAGAATGTATGCATTTTTTTAACTGTAAAACTTGGGGTTTTAATCTTTTTTTGTTTTTTTTTTTTTAACTTCAGTGTGTCTTTAAAAAAAAAATTTTATGTAAACAGGAAACTTAACATAACTAATACCTTACAACTTTGTTTTTTTTTTTTGTAAAACAACCATCAAAGAGTTGATGTGTAAAGTAACTACAAATGTTTTCAACATCAAATCTACATTTTTTAAATGTTTTGTCATCTTAACCGAAACAATTTGTTTTTTTTCTCATGAAATACATGTATATCAAAGTTATTTATATAATTTGTGTATAAAACTTTATCATGCAAATAGTGACAATGATCTGTTTGTGTTAACACTTTAACTATCCTGTTAGATCAGTCTTTATTTTCATTAAGGTCAATATATACTGCTGTCTCCTTTAAATCAAAATCCCTCAAGTAAATAATGGGCAAATCCAAAAACAATTAATTGAAAGTTATGCTTAATATGGTAATATTTTTATAGCATTAATAGAAATTTTGAAGGAAATAATTGTAATCCCTGTAATAAATGATAGCCCTATTGCGATGACAGGCAGTACAAGACAACTGTCAGACACTAAATATCTTAAATGGACTTGTTCATCTTTGTCAATCTGGACAAAATCATTCATCAATTATATAGAAAATTTCAAAATATGTATGGACATAATATTGAACAGTGCAGACAATGATAAGAGAGCAATAGATGTGCCGGCCGGCTGATCTTGATCTGTACTGGTCTCACAGGTAAAATCTGTTACCACTAGAGCAGGTTGACATAATGCATATGAGCCACGTCACGACAAAACCAACGTTATGCGTTTGCAACCAGCATGGATCCAGACCAGCCTGCGCATCTGCGCAATCGGATCAGATCCATGCTTTTCGCTATCAGATTCTCTATTTGTAATAGGGTTTGTAAGCAAACAGCATGGATCCTGATCAGACTGCGCGGATGCGCAGGCTGGTCTGGATCCATGCTGGTCGCAAACCCATTATGTTGGTTTTGTTGTGACGTGACTCATCATAATACATTGGTGTGTATAATCTACATTACAATGGATAATTGCTATAGACAGTAAAAACAATAATTTTCTAAAATTTAATTTAAAATAACACAAACACTGTTTTCACTAAGAGCCACAATTTCTTCTTAAACATCTATGGACATCAATCTGTAAAATGAAAATGTTAAAACAAGCATTTATGCACAAAAGAGGCAGCATTTGCCTTTAAATATTGTGTTAGGTAAATGTTTGATGTTAAGGTCATGTGATCACAGATAAGGTGACTAGCTTTTCAAAAAAAATACACCCAAAACTAAGAGAGATTTTAAACCAATTATAAAAATACAAGATCTCCTTAAATAAAAACCAATCTCGGAATCATAGATAAGAATGTATGGTGTCCATCAAGGCTAGTCCAGTCAAAATCAATACACATTACAATGATCAATGAAAACCTGCTAATTACATTAACTTTATTTAAATAATGGAATTTTAACCCATGCTTTACCTTTGAACAATATTGACAAAAATGAAGTCAGCCATTTTGCATTAAAGGGGTTATAACTCTGTCCAAAAATATTGAAAGGATTGTACCAAAATATCGAACTGACTTTCATAATATAGTATACTATATTAATCCAAAATTGTTGAAGACTTTAAAAAATTATCATTGAAAAAAAAAAACATTTCTGAAATTCATCTGAAATGTTGGTTCTGCACATTGTCTTGATTAGATAATATTTGACCTTAGTATCATAAATAAGGTCAAGAAGCGGACATAAAACTTAATAAAAGTTGGACAGACGGACAATAAGATGGATGACCAGGAGCCTAACACAGAGAGTAACACTACCAATGATTTAACAAGAGGGCCCAGATGGCCCTGGGTCGCTCACCTGAGAAATAGGTCAAGGGACAGCTAAATCTGAAACACTGTCACCAAGGAAATTTTTGGTAAAATTATTTCAAAACTGAACCAGTGGTTAAGATGTTGTTTAGATGTTGTTGTTTAATATTTTAACTCTGGCAGCCATTTTATTGAACAGTTCAGCTTGTCACTTAGTGAGAAGTGAGCTAATAAAAAGGTGATAGAAAAAGAAAGGGAAAACATTAACATTTGACCTGGCTTGGGATTGAACTGTCAACCTCGCCACCCTAAGGCAGGGCCAATTTTGACCCTAGGGGTTTTATTTCAATCCCTGCAAAGTTTCAAAAAATTTGGCCATGTGGTTTAGGAGGAGAAGTTGTTTAAAGAAATTTTTGATGCATGATTGCACAACGGACAATGGGCCATCACAATAGCTCACCTTGAGGACATTGTCATCAGGTGAGCTAAAACAACCTAATTTGCAGCAGGACTTAAAACCATAAAAGTTGTCATGGTCAATCTGAATAACTGAAATAAGTATATTAATAGAATTAATTCTGAAACACTTTAAAATATTAGGCTATATAGTGTTAATAAGTATATACACTTACTACACTATATCTAAGATTTTAAACAAATTGGAAATCAAACTTACATGTCTCCCATGTATACACCAGGGTACACCTCATCATAACTGTTTTCTGGTGCTTGAGGTAGCGTAAACATCCAGAAAGTTGGTGCTGCACCAATCGAAGAGTTGCTGCCATAGAGCCGGGCATCAGTCGATGTTATAAGATACTCTCTTACTTTAGAGTAAAGCATATGGTTGTAACTCATCCTTGCACATCTACAAAATACATAACACTATATTTATAGAGTTAAGAACATTATTGAACTTAAAATTCCAGGAATAACATTCAGTTGAACAATAAGTTATATCTGTTTGTTTGAATCTTCAATTTTTATCAAATTCAGACACAAAACACATTAATAAAGCAAACAGACTAAAGTAGTCACACAACAGAGTGATATTAAGTTAAAACTGTTATAACTTTTCTCTGGCTGCCTTTGTGTTATCCTGCTTACAATTTGGAAAAGTCAATTTTTTATCAAAGGGGGGTTCAATTATCAAAACTCGTACAATTGTGGAGCCAATGTGACAGTCTGGTTAGACTGCACAAAATGAAATACACGTAAATAATTCTAGAACACTTCAGGTATTATTCCTCTAGTTTATGATTAATTGTGAAACCTTTAAAACTGGAACAAAACAAAATGAAATACACGTAAATAATTCTAGAACACTTCAGGTATTATTCCTCTAGTTTATGATTAATTGTGAAACCTTTAAAACTGGAACAAAACAAAATGAAAAACACGTAAATAATTCTAGAACACTTCAGGTATTATTCCTCTAGTTTATGATTAATGTGATATTGTTTAAACTGGAACAAAACAAAACAAACCATTTGTGTCTTGTAGAGTTGGAAACATGGATAAAGATTCAGTCAAACTTATTTAAATCCAAATATCTGCACACTATTAACTTTTTTTTATTTAAATCCATAGATTCATACACTATGAACTGTTTTATTTCTTTAAGATATTATGTGACACTGCATAAAAACTTAAATGAATATCTGAGGTACAAATCAATAATTATTGATGCATGATTTATATCAATATACCTTGATTATTGTGCAAGAAAGGAGAATTAAATCTTTTGAAATTATGGAGAAAATCAATATTTATCTAACTTCTTCATTTGCATATTTCCTTTAAATCTTACGCGACTGAATTCGGACTGACATCATTTGAGTTTAGAATTGCCCATTGTCACTTTGAAAGATACCAATATCTAAATGAAATATATCAGATCTGAGTTAATGATATTAACACCTAGTCAGACTGAAATACTGTACAGAACAGGCCAACCTGATTCTGATACTGGCACAGTCTAGTCAGCATTACTGAAGGTTGAACACTCAATGTTATATACAAATCTAAAGACAAGTTAAGGTAGTCCTGAACAAATCCACAGATTTCCTATATAATTCATGGCATGAATACACCCTTTAAACGACCATAGCATAATAAGTGTAAAGAAGCGTAATCGTGAAGGTGACAATAATGGTTTCTAAAGACTCCATATTTATGTCCCATATTCAGATGTGGTCCCAACCTTGAACCATATGAGCACTATTCTGGATATCCTGTGATCAAGGTCAAACAAGGACAAATTTTAAACACTGCTATGCCACCTACCTACTTTCCCATCCATCCAACCCTATGCCATTACCTATGCCAACCAGTCTCTATCTCTATCCTCTCCTATCTTTATACTATCTATATTTATCCTATCCTATCTCTATCATATCTGTATCCTATCTTATCTCTATCCTATCTCTATCCTCTCCTATCACATCTTATCCATATCCTATCTCTCCTATCTGTATCCTATCCTATCTGTATCCTATCTCTATCCTATCTTATCACTATCATGTCCATATCCTAATTTCTATCTTATCCTATCTTTATCCTGTCTCAATCTATATCCTATCCTATCCTATCTGATCTCTATCCTATCTATATCCTATCCCTATCCTATCTTATCTCTATTCTGTCCATATCCTATCTCTATCTTATCCTATCTCAATCTCTATCCTTTCCTATCCTATCATATCTCTATCCTATCATATCTTATCTCTATTCTGTCCATATCCTATCTCTATCTTATCCTATCTCAATCTCTATCCTTTCCTATCCTATCATATCTCTATCCTATCATATCTTATCTCTATCCTATCATATCTTATCTATATCATATCATATCTTATCTATATCATATCATATCTTATCTATATCATATCATATCTTATCTATATCCTATCTTATCTATATCCTATCATATCTTATCTCTATCCTATCCTATCTTATCTCTATTCTATCCTATCATATCTTATCTCTATCCTATCATACCTTATCTCTATCCTATCCTATCTTATCTCTATCCTATCCTATCTTATCTATATCCTATCATATCTTATCTCTATCCTATCATATCTTATCTCTATCCTATCATATCTTATCTCTATCCTATCATATCTTATCTCTATCCTATCATATCTTATCTCTATCCTATCATATCTTATCTCTATCCTATCATATCTTATCTCTATCCTATCATATCTTATATATATCATATCATATCTTATCTATAATATCCTATCATATCTTATCTCTATCCTATCATATCTTATCTATATCCTATCATATCTTATCTCTATCCTATCATATCTTATCTATATCCTATCATGTCTTATCTCTATCCTATCCTATCTCTATCCTATCATATCTTATCTCTATCCTATCCTATCCTATCTTATCTCTATCCTATCATATCTTATCTCTATCCTATCATATCTTATCTCTATCCTATCATATCTTATCTCTATCCTATCATATCTTATCTATATCCTATCATATCTTATCTCTATCCTATCATATCTTATCTGTATCCTATCATATCTTATCTATATCATATCTTATCTATATCATATCTTATCTATATCATATAATATCTTATCTGTATCATATCGTATCTTATCTATATCCTATCATATCTTATCTCTATCCTATTATATCTTATCTATATCATATCATATCTTATCTCTATCATATCAAATCTTATCTCTATCCTATCATATCTTATCTCTATCCTATCATATCTTATCTATATCCTATCATATCTTATCTCTATCCTATCATATCTTATCTCTATCCTATCCTATCATATCTTATCTATATCATATCATATCTTATCTTATCTTATCTATATCATATCATATCATATCTTATCTATATCATATCTCTATCCTATCTCTATCTCTATCCTATCCTATTCTATCATGTGCTCTGTTGCAACACTGAATTACATTTCCGTGAGGTGGAAAGACCCCTATTTAGTACTGAGAGACAATACTTGGAGATGGAGGTCACTATGAAAATGCTTTTTTTTAAATTATTGGCCGTTCTACAGAGAAGTAAGTACATGTATACAAGGACCATTATTACATGTACACAACCAATATTGTTAACTGATTATATGTCACACTTTTGAAAAGATTTCAATACCATAGCAATTTTCTATATAGCTTTCATTAATTAAATGATCACACCTTTTACAAATTGATCTATAGCACATGTTAATAATCTCATCAGATGTCAAACAAAAAGTGTAAATGTAACCGCTTAAAGTGCGTCATTATTAAACAATCAATATAAGTAATGATCATCTTAGGACATATTTAATATGACTGAAATAAAATGAGCCGCGTCACGACAAAACCAACACAGTGCGTTTGCGACCAGCATGGATCCAGACCAGCCTGCACATCTGCAGGATCCATGCTGTTCGCGATCAGTTTTTCTACATGTAACAGGGTTGGTAAGCGATACAGCATGGATCCTGATCAGACTGCCCAGATGCGCAGGCTGGTCCATGCTGGTCGCAAACCCATTATGTAGGTTTTGTCATGGCACAGCTCAAATATTGAAATTATATTGAACACTTCCCACTAAATTGCTGTATTAATGAAATAATAAAATTGCATTACCTATTTCAAACAGATCAATATTCTTTCACTTTTTTTTTGCTTATATTGCACTAACATCAATTCTAGAAAACACACTTTTGCAAAGAAGTCTTTTCACAAAAATCCAACTTTTAACTTCTGAGACAGATGAAAATTATGAGATACAAAAATGTCCACTTTCTAAATGTTCTTTTATATGGAAATCCCCAAAAAACATATATTCAGTATGCAAATTGTAGAACATTGAGTCTTTAAAAAAAAAAAGAGAATTACACTATATCAAACAATGGTATTTTTAACATTGTAGTTACATGTAAAGCTTTATTAAAATGCCACTATATCATTTCTTTCACATGTAAAATAAAATTCAACTTTCTTTCATAAGTTTAAAGGATGAAATTCAAAGTAAAATTCTACCAGGCACTGGTCTCATAAAAACAAAGAGACTGTTGCCATAGCTACATGTCCTGAAAATTGTAAATATCTCACTCTGGTTTTTCAATATGTCATAATGAGACTACTATAAAAGTGTGTTCACAAAAAAACCTGGGAAAATGCTTCATGATGAATTTTTCATTAAAACAAAATATTTCTTTCCTTAAACTTCATTAAACTAACAGAACATTTTCATCACTTATGACTAAAAAACAATACAAGACCTATATATTGCTAAAATCAGTTTACTTGTCTGATCTCTACACACTTACTATTTATATGTCAGAAAAGAAGCAAATTATTGTTTGTTTTGTTTTTGTTTGGTTTTACAGCTCACCAACACAATTTAGGTCATAATTATGGCAACAAAACAGGGAAGATGATATTTTAGAATTTTTTTGAACAGTTAGAGCTAGATATTTTAAAGTTTAATGATTTAGGAAAAGTATTGCTCTCAGGGGACTTTAATAGCAGAACTTCAGATTTGCCCGATTACATTGATTATGATAAATATTTAGACCAAAATTTGACGTTTATGGAAACACGTGATATTCCACTTCGTGTAAACAAAGATAATGTAATTGACCAATACGGACGTCGTCTGCTTGATATGTGTTGCGTAACCGGGTTATTATTAGCTAACGGCCGTATTCTTGATGACCGGCACAAGGGTAATTATACATTTTGTACCAGCAATGGACAAAGTACAGTTGATTATGTACTTTTAAATTATCATGATTTTTCAATGTTAGATGAATTTGCAATACTTGAATTTAATGAATTTTCCGACCATGCGCCAATACTTTTTACGATCCCA